CAGACTTCATGGGATTGAGGCTTCCATTTGTCAAATATGTGGAAATATACCAGTTTAAGAACTATTTTATGTTGCTCCATGAACACTTTATTTTCACAAATAAGAAAATTCACCTTTTCCATTTAAAGTTTATGCTATCCCTTACTTTCAGAATACAAAAATGTGTGACTAAGGAACACCTCTGGATCAAATATCTGCTAATTCCAAAAAGGTGTTTACACTGGAATATTCTGATCTCTCCTGAATATTTCCATATGAACCTTGACTAAGTCAGTCTCCATGTTTACCCTGTACCATATAGAGCAAAACATTGCTAAAACCTTCCTTTCATGATCAGTCATTACCCAACTCTTCCAAAGGTTTATGCAGTGTTTTCTGCAACAGTTTGTCCACCACGCAGACAGTCAGCACGCCTAGTCCCTTGCTGTTGCAGGCAGTCACATCATAAACCAATCAAATGCCATTGTAAAACTAAATAGGCTTTTTGGCCTAAGTCTCCAAAATTTGGGAGTGGGCCTCTCTTGCATTCAAACTAATTTGGGTAACAATGAAGAAATTCACTCATAAACAGGGTTTCTGACTACATCTTTTTCCGTCAGTGGTTCTTGTTTTCCGCTCCAACCCACATCATCTATTCTCTTCCTTCCACCCATTCTTTCCCCCAAAAAAAGGCTGGCTTGGACACTGTGCTTCAATTTTCTGTAGAACTTTCTATTTTTCTTTCCCATTCTTTTTGTTTAGTATATGAAAGCAGCTTCCTGTTTAGAAACATGGGAGTCCTACACCCTCAGTAATGATGTATTCAGCCCATCAATGATCTTGGCATGAATGCCTTAAACCTTAATAAGTCTGATGGGATCTTCTGTACATGTCATCATCAGTCCAAAAAAAAATGCCTAACGTTTGTCATCTTGCACTGAATCAGCTCCCTTCCCAGTGCTACAGTTCTAGTAAGAATTCTAAGGGCTTACAAGCTTCCTTCTCATAAATATTTCAAATTATAGATTTCAAATGCCTACAGAACAAGAGGAAAAGCACCAAGATGAGAGAGTTGCTGCAGAACTCTCAACATGATCAATACTGTTCTGCTTTTCCAACCCTGAGTCCCTGCAAGCAGTCTGTCATTGCTCACACTGCTCAAGTCTTACTAGAGCTTATCATCCAAATCCTGGGCTTGTCCTGGGCAGAATAGGAATGAAACATAACATAACTTCTGTTTAACTTAAAAAAAAAAAAAACCACAAACACATTCCCCTCAAGCCCTACATGACCTAGAACAAAATTCTATCTTGTTCAAATACGCAGACTGGATCAAAATCTATTTCTGTACATTCAAACAAGGCAGTAGCATTGGTGATTTGAAATAAACTGAAATATTTGTCACTTTGAGAGTTTAACATACACACATTCCTGTGCAGGCTGTTCACCCTGATGAATTTAAATGTAATTAAGTTCTCCAGGGAAGTTACTGGACAACCATACAACTAGCCCTAGAATCAGTGAGTGCAGAAGCAGCCTTGTACCACAAACAACAATGTGCTGTTCTTCTCTAAGCAGTGCTTAGCAGCAAAGTGGTTAACCACAAATTATTCTATACGGCATAATTCTTCAGCTAATGCTACTAGCAAAGCTGCAAGCCTGGAGCTCATGCTTTTTAAACTCTTGACAATGCAAGGCCACATACTGTTTTACTTTAACTCTTTTGGGGGCTTGGTCTGTGCCTACATAAACATCAAAACCTATTTTGATCTTTACTCACGGGTGAGCAACAGAGTTAATTTAAAACTGTCAGCAAGTGCCATCCCAATTAAAACCCAATAACTAATTGCACAACTACAGGGTTTGTTGACACAGGCTACATACATCAATCAGGCAAAGCCAACCAAGCTTGAATTTGAGGAAATGCAGCACCATCTAGCGTCCTCACATCAGTTGAGTCAAAAATCAATTTTACAATGAGTCCACACAGAAATTTCACAGGTACCTGCCACTCACAAAAGCAGTAAGACACCAGAAGTCCAACTCCAACAGCACTTCCGAAAAAGGCAATTACATAATAAAAACTGTTTAAAAAGAGCTGCTGAGTCAAATGTTTGCAGGCAGAATAGAAACTCTTTGAAGACAAAAGACAGAGAAATTACTCTGCCACCTACCAAAAAGATGTAGTCCAAAGGCTAAAAACTGCCAGAAGGCTACTGGAAAACTACTCCTGTCTATAAAAAAATCTGCTAGAAACAAAATGGTAAGCTTCAATAGGCTGAGTAACATTAAAAATTCTGCCAGGCTAAAAGTGTAAAAGAATATGAAAAGGCATTTGAGAAATATTTGAGGAAGATTAACAATAAATTTTTTCAAACATCGGGAGCCAGAATCACGAGAAAGGGTTACCACAGCCAACAGATGATCAAAGAATTGAAAGAACAGTAGGAAACAGAGAAGACTTCAGATAAGTTTTTTAAATGTTTGTTGTTTTTTTTAATCCACATTCAATCACAGAGGCGCTTAGACTGGCACCCATACAGGGGAGCTCATTTCAAATTAGAGGGTCAGTAAAAGATGCTACTGAATATTTCAGTAGCATAAACAATATTAGTTCTTTATAATCAGACAGTAAATACCCAAGAAATCAATTAGACAATAATTGAGCTAGCAACCATCATGCATAATCTCTCACTTAAAACTGAGAAATGAGACATTTTTAAGAGTTCTACAGGGATTAGGTGAGTTATGTCAGGTGAACTGACCTTTCAACTGTGCTGATACTCTGGAATATGGAAATATTGGACATACAGATGAACATGTTATGCTGGCAAATACGGCTCAAGTAAAGGAAACAGATCTCACATCTCTATTATTCTTCTCAGAGAACCTTACAAGTTTTATTAGCAGATATTAATTCTAAAATTTATCAAGGCAGAAGTTCCTGATGTACCAATACTTTATGTATCATGTCAGCCCTCCAATACAAAAATCATAGTACAGAAAGGAATGGAGCAGCTTTCATCAAAAATGATTAAATAGAAAAATCTCTTTGCAACCTGGAAAAGAGAAAACTGAAGGACAATTAGTAGAAGAGATGGAAAGGTAAATGTATACTCTGTGCTCTCTCTGAATACCACCAAGTCAACATGGTCTGTCACACACATCAATGTGATGGGCAACAAGCTCAAAACCAAGTCTAAAGCAGACAAAGCCAAGACCAGAAGTATTTCTGCAGAGAACACATGCTCAGCCTGTGACATACCATAACTATACACAGCAAGGGGCTTACTAGACTCCTAAAAGGATGTAGACTAATTAATGGAAGAAAAATCCTTTGGGTTCTGTGGAACATACTCTTCCTTTCCCAGATGTGCCGATGGCCAGGGAACTGGAGTACTATCACTGTGTTCACCTATTCTTACTGTCTCCCCTTAAGCATTTATTTTGGTCTTCTAGAGTGGTAGGAGAGAAGATGATAGACTAAAAAGGATCTCAGTGCAGTCTTCCTTGTACCCCCTTCCAAAGGGGAAGCTGTAGCATCACTAGCTTCCTCCTGACACCAAGGGTGGTGCATGCATGGACAGGAGTTGATGCGTGCTGAGCTTACTCTTGCAGAGACAGCATGCTAGGAAGGGATGAGGTGAGAATCATGGAAAATTGTTCTCATCCTAGTCCAGCCTAACTTCAAGCCAGTATGGGATATTGAGGGAAGTCTGCTACAAAGCCACTGCACACCTGTTCTTCATTCAAATAATGTTACAGTAGTTAGTTGTACAGATGATTTCTTCTTTTATTTGCATACAAGAGACCTATATATGCATCATGCACAGGTTTAAGATGACAAATTCTTGCATGTGTGCACAAGTGGACTGGTTTGTGCTTTCTAGAAAGAACTACAAGGAATATGGTAGCAAGTTTCCATGTGATTGAAAATTTAAGATTAATTACTACTAACACACTAATTCTCAGCAGTAGCTTCGCTATTTCAAGCTTCAGCTATCACTCATTGTCCTCATGCTAGAGGACATTACAGAGATGCCACCTAGAGGCCAGACCAATTTTTTATCAGTCTCTGCTTTCCTTATTTTGAAGACCACAAAGTACACATTCAACATATGAGTGTATCTATTTTATTGCCAAAAATGTTAGTATTCCTTTAAGAAGAATCTGGCTTGGACCATTCCAAGGCAGACCTTGCATTCCTCACCACTGTCACAAGTTATGGACATAAGTTATGAAGATTTTTAACTGTAGGAGAAAATGCCAGAGCAAGCTGCTTTTGCTAAGCCTACAGAGCATGCTTAAGAACCTAGATAAATTAAGTTTATTATGTCACAAGTCAAGTTCTGTAGGAAATGTCCCAGTGAAGACCTATCTCTCTCATATGCCTTTCAAACATATTTATTAAAACATTTTATAGCAAAAGTGCCTTTTTTTTTTTGACATGAGGAAAATACAAGGGTGGGCCTGAGAAAGTATATATTAAAAAGAGCTTTGTTCAGGGTTCTAGTACACCTTCACTGCAGATAACTAATGAGCATCTTCAGCATTCAGCAGAATTTAATGTATTCAAGAACTGAAACAGGCTACAGATAGCGAGAAATGAATGCATGCAGCAGGCAACTCAACAGCATGTGAGGCAACAACCTCAGTCTGCACTTACGGCCTTGCAAGCCATAGCTCTGTCAATAAAGCCACAATAAAAACATCAGAAAACATTAAGAAGCCCATCCTCTTTATGTATCTTAAGTGGAAGATGCATATATATACACACTATTTCTCTGCTACAAGGATATACATCAAGAATTTGAACAAAGAAAAGCCATAAATCATAGCATTCATTTAGTATTGCCCTCTCAAGCATCAATCTGCAAGACAGGTATTAGTAAGGACAGAAATTAACACAACACACACAAGTTACTATTTTTCTCAGAAAGTGAAGCTACATACTACAAGTTAGCATAGCACTAGCTCTATAGAAGAACATAAGAATAATGTTTTCAACATAAAACCACAAGTCAAATCTGAAAGATAAACCAAATTTATTTAAAACAAAAAATTAAGACAGTGCTATCACCAAGACTGAAAAAATGAAGGATTCTTTTACTGATGTGACAAACCGGCCAATTTACAGCAGTTACATTAATTCTGAGAAAATCAGATTGGCTTCAATTGACTACATGTACTTTCCGCAAGAAACTGGTTCCCCTTTGCTCCCCTTCCCAAAAGAACAGACAAAAACATCCTATAAAAACATGTACAGAATTTTCAGACACATGATCAAAACACAAACCACTGTCCAAAAGCCTCAAACTTTCCAACAAGGTTAGATCCTTTGTGGCTTCAACCAACCCTCAACGGGGGAGCTACAAGCACAACGCCGTCACCTCTGACAAAGAGCATCGGAATATTCCTTTTGGTAGACTACGAAGAAGGAAAGAAAAGTTTACATTTACAAAAGCATATTTTACAAAACACATCTGCTAAGCATATGACCGAATTCAACCGCGACAAAACATCAGAAACAACTCCAACAAACACCATCTCAAGTGTACAACATTCCAGCATGCTGAAGAGACCAATACAAATAACATCAAGTTTTCAGATATCCTTTGTACTGCCATAACAATTTGCCCAAAAGTTCTATTAGATCTTGGTTCAAAAAGTAGTCAGCAATAGACTACTTCAACAAGATAACATAGTTTAGTTTTAGAAAAGTTTTCTATACGTATAAATACACTAAGTCCTTACTTTATAAATCTCTTCATAGGTTTCTTCATCAATCTCTATTGTAGTTACAGTTTCTTCCACATCACCCAAAATCATATTCAAGTGCTGATCATATGCCTGTAGGAATGAAGTTAGTTTATTATTTCTTACAGAATTCAAACATGAGCTTACTAAACCAAGAATTTTAGCAAGACTTTCAGACATAATTAATTCAGCCCAATTTTGAGCAAAGTATGCCACTGTATCAAAACCAAGTACTATCAGTTGAATTCCAAGCAAACATCAACAAATCAATACTCTGCAGCATAAAAAAATAGGAAGACATTTATATTTACTGAAACACTCCTCTGGGAATTAGCTCTGAGGCATTCAGTGAGAACACACACAAGAACTCTGAGGCAGACACACTTTCTTAACATTAAACCAGTTACACATTCCCTGCTGCCAGTTCAGCCCCCTGCAACTGATTGCCTGGGGTCACCTTAAAGGATATGAAAGCTGTAATTCATACAATGCTACTAAAATTGAAATAAGCACACATTCCAAAAACCTTACAGAAGTGTGTTGCAAACTACACGTGTGCCTCATGGACTCCTCCTCAACTTTGTGCTCCCAAAGGAGTTGAGGCCAACTTAAAACATGGGACAACTGGCTCTCTTCCCCAACACAGTACAGTACTCAGGAAAGATAACTGACTTGTTAGAAAGCAAAAAATCTGTCTTGTCAAGGGACACACCACTCTCAGAGGAAAACACTTAAATGAGATTTGCAGAGAATGCAGCTGAGCACATAGCCCATCATGCCCCTGCATGGTGTGCCTTACAAGATATTTGTTTGATAACAATAATCTCATTCTTAATTCAGTCTTAAAGAGAGCTCAGGGTACTTCACAAGAAAAGGCCTGCAGCATTATTGCCTGGGGTGACAGAAACAGAAGCCAGAAGCAGTGGAATGAATTGTTCGGTATCATTCAGGAGACAAGAAAAACAAAACACATCTCTTGACTCTCTAGAGGAGCATTTAATAGCAGAGTACTGAACAAATTAGATTTTTCCACCGATCACATGTGATAAGAGGAAAGGGTCAGTCTTCATTACTAACATGATCTTCAACCTACCTTCTCTAACCAGTTCCATACTTTTAACTATGAGATACAATTACTTGTGGTTTTAAACTATTTTTTTAAACAATAAATGGAGTAGTAGAGGTTAAGCTTGGAGTAATACTGTTGTACATGAAAAAAAGTCTGCGCAGTGCTTAGCAGAACAAGCATGGCATTGTTCCCTAAGTTTTACTTACATGGAGTCTGCCTCTGAGCTCTCTGTCGTTCCTCATTTTCACATAGATTCTTTCATCTAGACTGAGTCTGATGAGATCAAGTGGCTCCTCTACAGTATTTGTTGTTTGTTGCTAAAAAAATAAAACAAGTTATTTGTACAGAAAAAGGCTGTGAACTCTTCCATTCCTCAGTGTTTGAGAGACATGGAAAACAAACAGGTAAGAACATAGATGGCAAACACTCCAAATGATTCCTTCCCATCCTGTTGAACCCGTGTAGCTGGTACTACCATGCTACAGATATTGCCCAGCCTGAGCAAAATGAGTTAAAAAGGCTTCGGTTTACTTTGCAGCACATCACACCTCACACTGTGTGGTGTAAACTCTATTCCTTACCAGTATCCACTGCCCACACAGCAGCTGAAACCCTGTTCGGCCTGAGCCAGGACCACACCTGTGCCACCACACAGCCCAGGATAAAAAAAAAAAACCAAAAAAACCCAAACACACACTGACACTTTCAACAGCTCCCCTCAGTTATCTGGGTAACACAGTGCCCACTCCCGTCTGTCCCCACAAGGCCTAGCTCAACAAGACAGCACTTAAGCCGGGTCTCAAAGCCGGTTAGAAACCTGAGCACACACCGGGCTAAGATCTCTTTTTTGGGGAGGAGAAAGGCTAAATCCTTTTCAGAATCACAGCTAAAATGTGCGAACGCCTTTCCTCATGCTACCTATTTCCTCCTCGCTGAGGCAGAGCCACGGGTGTTTTCCTCAGCGGCTTCCCGCCACTTCCCTCCTCAGGCAGTTCCTGAGGGAAACGGTCCCGAAGCGAGCCTCGCCCGCCCTCCTCACACCCCGGCGGCGGCACAAGGACCGAGGCCGTGGAGTAGCTTCGTTTCAGACGAAAAGAGCTTCTCGCCGCGGGGGGCTGCGCCTCAGGAAGGAGCCCAGGCGGGGGCTGCGCCGGGAGGTACGGCCAGCCCCAGCCCAAAGCCTGCCGCCATCTTACGGCCCTGCAGCCGCGGAGGGAAGGCGGGAACGGGGGCCCGGCCGCTGCCTCCCGCCCTGAGGGAAGCGGGGAGCCGCTCACCTGGTCCACCTCATCCGCCATCTTTCAAACCGCCTCCCGCCTTCTCCCGCGAGACTTTATGGCGCTTCCCCTTCCCC